CCCCCCCAGATTCTTTCCAGTTACATCCCAGCCGAAAGCGAGGATTGGATTTCGGCCGCGGTCCCTGGGCTATAAATACCACCCCCCTACACACCTCTCCCCCCTCCCCCCAACCTGGCCTCAGCCCGCGCTCTCGCTCAGCGCCAGCTGTCTCTGCCCGTCCGCGTACCCGAGCTCTGGCTGCAGAGGGGCCGGCTCGCCTCACGAGGCCGAACCCCATTCTTGCCACCCCTTCTGGCTCAGAAGCGGGGTGCTGAGTCACGGGGGTGGGGGGGAAGCGGGTAGGAGGGATGTACACAGTGGGAGGAAAAGGGGATGCTGGACCCAGTAATTTGACCCCTTTCCACCTTCCTGCTCCAAGCACGTGTTTAGTCAGTTCCAAGGACCGCGGGGAGGGGGAAGACGCTAGGGACAGGGGGCAGCCAAGCGGGTCCTCCTTCGCCCGCGGAAAGGACCGGGCGCGGGACCGCGTGACTCCCTTCCGGAGGGTTAGGGCACAAATACTTGGTGGAGCAGGAGAAGATTTCCAGGAGGAGTCGTCTCTGCTAGTGAAGAATCCAACCCCACGCCATCTCCCTTCCCCAGACTCCGAAAGTGGACGACACGGCTCGGCCAAAGTCACCAGGAGGGGGTGGGGGGAATGCAAAAACCCTCGCATCTCCTCGACACCCGGAACGCGGGATGGAGGGCCCCGAGCATCCCGGGAGGGAGCGTCCCCGAAGAAGAGGGGCAATTAGGGGACGGGTGCGACCCCAGCGGGGCCGCACTCACCATGGCGAGTCGGGCGGTGAGTCTCACGTAGAGTCCGGGTGACGGGTCTCGGTGAGAAGTGCGCTAGCTGCAGTGCCGCACCGCCCTTATAGGCGAGGGGCGGGCCCGCGCGCTCCGCTCGCCCAATAGGGGATGGGAGGCCCGGAGGCCACGCCCCCGAAGGGCAGGCAGCCCCGAGGGGTGGGGTCAGGCGGTTCCCCTCCCCCTACCGGACCTGGATCTCTCACCTGTCCAACTTGGGTTAGGTGTAGCCGCCCGGGCTTTAACCCTTCGCTCCCGGGTTTGAGCCGACGCTCCGGGTTCCCCAGCTCCGCTGCGGGGACGCAGGGCGCGGGGCCAGCGCGCGTGCCGCCTGCACCTGCGTCATGGGGGCGCCCGTCGCTCAGGTGTTCTGATTTGGGCCGAAGGCTGTAGAGGCTGTCCTTCCTAAGTGGCTGCAGCCGGCCTTCGCCCGTGCCCTCCCCGCCCCGCCTCCCTGGAGGCTCTGGCTGACCGCCTGGCTCTAGCCCCGGAAAGCTCTTGCAGCGGCACGCGGCCTGCTGGTCCCCGGCCGGGACGGCTGGCCTTCGCCAACGCCTGCGGGCGGCCGAGGACCGGGGGCTGCACAGCCTGAGCCCCAGGATGCCGATCTCTTAAGCTGCCCCGCAAAGCCAAGCCCCGCAACCTGTCTGCTAGGGCTGACCCAGGGAATCTGCTGCGGGTCCCCAGCTGCCCACCGGTCAGCGGCTCCGTCATCATCGCCGTCACTATTAGCGAGCCCTGGCCGCTGCCACCTGCCCGCTTTCCTGCTGCCAGAACCGCCGGCGCTCTGGACTGAAGCTCTCAGGACCTGGATTCGCATCCTGACTGCCCTACGTGACCTTGGGCAAGGGACTTAACCTCACCGAGTCCTTGGCATCTTCGTTGGTGACAAGCAGACAACGATTCCACCCTGAAAGCATTGTTGTGAGGTCTCAAAATGTTGACTCTGAAGAGGGAAAAAGGAAAATGGAGATTCTGATATCAGGGCTGATTTTGACTTTCCTATCCTGTTTGTAAGCCACGTGCAGGATGGGCCACCTGCATCTTTTTTTTTTTTAATTTTAATTATCTTATTGAGGTCATATTGGCTTACAACATTGTGTAAATTTCAGGTGTACATCATTGTATTTCAGTTTCTGTATAGACTGCATTGTGTTCACCACCAACAGTCCAGTGTGTGTCTGTGTGTGAAGACTAGCCCTGAGCCAACATCTCTTGCCAATCTTCCTCTTTTTGCTTGAGGAAGATTGCCGCTGAGCTAACATCTGTGCCAATCTTCCTCTATTTTGTGTGGGATGCTGCCACAGCATGGCTTGATGAGCAGTGCTAGGTCTGCACTGGGATCCCAACCCGCAAACCCCATGCCGCCAAAGTGGAGTGCGTGACCTTAACCACAGACCTGCCCCTGCCACCTGCATCTTAACACCTGCCTCAGTGGTCAGGCGGAGCCCTCAGCAGAAGCTCTTCCTTCTTTCTACCTTTCATTTTCATTTCTTGCGAGAATGGGCTTTTCAATCTACTTCTGCTTTCCCTTAACATACCTTACATGTTCTAGCTGTCTCCCTTCACTGGGGAAATCATCAGGAAATGCCCCATGTGCCCAATGGCACATCCTTTAAAAGCAGTCTCCCAGGCTAGTCACTTGGAAAAGATTGCCTCTGCTACAATAGTGCTCCCTAGGGCCCAGGCTGTGTGACAATACAACACAACAGGATAAAATAACTAACAATGGCAACTTTTGACCAACAACATAGCCAATTGACATTTTACTTAGGCAAGGGGTGGAAAGGAATACAGGAAATATGACAAGGTCTCTCTTCCCGGTAGACTTGCCATCTGGTTGGAAGAACAAGACTCATTCGTAAGAAAGAAAACTGACAAGGGCATAGAGTGAGGCTGCTGTGGGAAATGGGGTCATGGTCTCTACAGAGCAAGGACCTTGATGATTACAGGACGCATGGCCTCTTGCAGACTTTCCCCACACTCTTTTTTCCTGTCCACCTCCACCCCAGCAGAGTGAGTGTCATAAGAGACTTGAGCTGTCTTAGCAAAACCCTAAACCTCTTTGACCTTCAGGTTCAGGTTCTTCATTTGTAAAATGGGGATAACAACTTCGGGTTGTGAGGACCAGATACATTTGGGAATGTGTACATACACAGCAAAGCACTGTGTAAGCAGCTGACTGCATTCCTAGAGCATTTTATTCATTTATTTTAGCGTGGGTGGCTCATGATGCTGCAATTATTTGTGTGCATGCCCATCTTACTAGATAGCAAACCTGTTGAAGATAAGGACTTTTTCTTATTCATGTTTGTGTCCCTAGTTCCTAGTATGGTGCTTAGCACATGGCAAGCATTTGCTAAATGTCAGATGAATTGTTTCACTTCAGAGCTGGGACTAAAATTAGGGCAGAACTCTAAGAAGCCAGCAGTTGCAAATTGGCAGCCAGAAGGCCAGATTTCCTCTCAGAAATGTTTTGTTTGACCTTCGCAGTGTTAACTCGCATAGTGTTTAGAATATGAAAAAAAATCAGGAATTGGGGCATCCCCAAGACCACTCCCATGCAAGGAGATCTGCTGGAAGGACTCACAGGACTTAGCATAAGGATGTACTCCCAGCTAAGGTTTATTACAGTGAAGTAGGAAGGTTGCACAGCTGGGTCAGGAGAGAAGGCACAGCAGTCTGAAGGAATCTCTGCCCTCTGCCTCCCATGAGGGCTCACACGGTGTACTTTTCCTCTAAAGCGAAAATGGAGCAACATTCCCTGCAGTGTTTCTGCCCAAGGAAGCCCACTAGAGACTCAGCTCCCAAGGCTTTTAGTGGGCGCTGATCACACAAGCACCTCTACTTTGCACATACCAAAATTCCAGACTCCAAGAAGAAAAGCAGGTGTTCAGCATAAGCCGTATTGTTTACACCCACAGCGTAGGCACAGCAAACCCTCCTCATCAGTTAACTGTTACCTGGGAGCACCCTAAGAGTGGAGTTCCAAGATGCTAAGGGCCAACCTTGCCAGCAGGACTTTCTAAGGATAGCATTCTCAGGCTGCTGTTATGTTAACTCTTTTCTGCACAGTCGTATAAAAATCCATATTTCTAGCTTATCTTGAAACGAATTGGAAGATCTGGCTATACCAGGCCTGCATCCCCATTTAGCAACTGTAATAGGCAGAATCACAGCCCCGAAAGCTGTCCACACCCCAGTCCCTGGAGCCTGTGACTATGCTACCTTACACAGCAAAAGACGTTACAGATGTTACTAAGGTAAAGATCTTGAGACAGGGAGATTATTCTGGATTTTCTGGGTGGGCCCCATGTAATCACAAGGGTCCTTATGAATGGAAGAGGGAGGCAGGAGAATGAGAGTCAGGGAAGGAGAGGGCAGAAGCAGAGGTCCGAGGGACGTGATTATTGGCTTTCAAGATGGAAGGAAGCCATGAGTCAAGGAATGTGGGCAGCCTCTAGAAGATGGGAAAGGCAAGGAACAGATTCTCTTCTAAAGTCTCTAGAAGGAAGGCAACCCTGCCAACACCTTGAGTTTATCCCTAAATAGGTTCTGCTACCAATCCCAACATGATCGGGGGGCTTCCCCACACACCACCAAGCAATTCTCAGATGCCAGCAGAGTGTCCGAGAATTCAACTCAATTCTGGCACTATCTACCCAGAGATAGCATCAGATTCTACAGGTTGAGGGCTCAGTCCTACAAGACTGCCCACCCCCCAACTTCAGATGCCAGTCACAAGCCCAAGTTGTTACCTGTGCTTCTGACCCACCAGCTACAATTGGAGGTTCCAATGACCCCCTCCAACTCAGGATGCCAATTGCAAGTCCAGGTTGTTACCTGTACTTCTAATGGACTGGCTATAAATGAGAGGTTCCCACAACCCCCTCCTCAGGTTCAATTAATTTGCTAGAGCATATCACAGAGCTCAGAGAAACATTTTACTTACTGGATCGCTGGTTTATTATAAAAGGCTATAAATCAGGAATAGCCAGATGGAAGAGATACATACGGCAAGGTATGGGGAAAGGGCATATAGCTTCCATGCCCTCTCCAAGTGTGTCACTCTCCCAGCACCTCCATGTGTCACCAAACTGGAAGCTCTCTGAACCCCATCCTTTTGGGTTTTTATGGAAGCTGCATTACACAGGCATGATTTGATTAAATCATTGGCCATTGGTGATTGAACTCAATCTTCAACCCCTCTCCCCTCCCTAGAGGTTGGGGGGATGGGACTGAAAGTTCCAACCCTCTAATCGAATGGTTGGCTCCACTGGCAACCAGCCTCCAACCTTAGGTGCTTTCTAAAAATCACCTCATTAACATAACAAAAGACACCATTATCATTCTCAACACTTATAAAATTCCAAGGGTTTTGGGAGCTGTGAGCCAGGAACCCTGGACCAAGACCAAATATATATGAGAAACATTATTTTGGTCATCTAAATAAAAAAATATATATTTTTCTTATAAATCACAATATTGCAATCCCCATAAGACCTATGTTGGATTTCTGATCTCCAGAACTATAAGATAATAAATTCGTGTTGTTTTAAGCTACTAAGTTTGTAACAATTTGTTACAGCAGCACTATGGCAACAAATGGAGCTCGGTGGTGGGTACCCTCTTAGCATGGGCGACGAGCTGCTCCAGTTCACCCAATCTCATCACTCTGTCTCCCTGACACAGAAGACGACTGTCTGTTGCCATTTAATATCATCTGCTCAACCCACGTTACACATTGGCCCCTGTAGCAGGGAGCTTACAACCCCTGAGCAGGCCTTCTGGAAGGGAAAATGGAGAAGACAAGGGTGCAGGGAGAAATGCCTAAGGCGTATTCGTGGACTACAGATTCTGTTTCTGATTGTGTGTGCCCGTGCATGCGTGCTCACTCACATGTACACATGACTGTGAGTGTCTATGTATCTCCTCAGGATGTATACAGATCCTCTGAATTAGGGCCATAAGCTGTGGGTGGGTATGTAGGTGATGGTCCATATTACCAGACTGAAAACTTGTAGACATTCACATACAGGTACAGAATCTAGAAGATGGTGCCAGGCACTTCTTCACTCTTATTGAATCATGGCTCAATCCATATACCCTACCTGGGTCTCCAGTTGGCCACTCTCTCTTTGGCTCTCTCTCCCTCTTCCCCTGCCCATTGTTATCCCCATCTTTTCTAACACCTTCCTAGAGTCTCGCCTCCATCTTGGAGCAGTGCAGCAAAGTCCTCAAAGTTGAAAATGTCTCCACCGATTCCATCTGGAAGAGTGGAGCTGAGCCTTAGTGCACGTCCTTCCATTTTTTCAGGCTGGAGCATCTCCCAGCTGTCCTCCTTCTCACGGCACAATCTTTCCAAAGGGATTTCTCCACGTTTTCTCTTCTCCCCCATGGTCCATGCCAGCTTGGTTCACACGCTCCACTGAGATGCTCTTGACAATGTCTCTAGTGACCTCCATCTTGCCAAAGCCAAAGGTCACATCTCTCTGTTTTTCTCAGCCTCTCAGCAGTGTTTGTCATAGTTGATACTTCCTTCCTCCTTGAAACACTTTCTTCTTGGCTTGGATGACACCTCCCTCTTCTGGTTTTTGTCCTGGCCACTCGTTCATGGTCTTTGATGGCTTACCTCTAAAGGCTGTTCCCCCAGGCTTAGGCCCAGGGTCTCCCTTTTCTTCATGTGTTTCTCTTCCCAAAGGAGCAATTGTTAATGGTGAGTGGAGTATATGTGGTTTTATTAACCCCATAAAAATAATAATCTCTAATTTGGGGTATATTTTTAAATGTCCTTAATAAAAAGTTATTGTAACATTTTGAGGGTTATTCAAAATGGGATACAGCTAGAATCTATACATTCCCAAACCATAATGAAAGAATAGAATAAAAAGAAAGAAATATTATCTATATACAGATGACTCTCAAATTTATGTCTCCATTTTGGACCTCTCCTCTGAACTTCAGACTATTTGCCTTCTTGACATGGTTACTTGAAAGCCTATCAGACATCTCAAACAACCATTCAAAGTAGAACTCTCAATACCCTATCCTCACCTCACTCCCTGCCAAACCCACTTCTGTTGCTTCCAAGTCTAAGAAAACAACATCACCTTCCACCCGTGATTAAGTTAAAAACCTAGGGTCATCATGCATTCCTCCTTTCCTTTCTCCTCCCTGTCTTTTATTAGCTAGAATTTTTTGGCTGCAAATAACGGAAAGCCTAATTAATATCGACTTAAACAATGAGGATATTTGTTATCCCGCAAGAAATCTGAGTATAGGGTGGTTCCAGGGTTGATCCAGTGATGTCACCAATAATTCCGGTATTTCCAGCTTTCTGCTCTGGCATCCTCAATGGGCTGGTGATGTCTTCCCTTATGATCACAAGATGGCTGCAGCAGCTCCAAGAGTCATGTTTTCATATGACACTGTCCTAAGGCAGGAAACAGCGGTTTCCTTTCATCTCTCATTTTATCAGGGAGAAAAACCTTTCCTTAAAGCACCCTTGCAGACTTCCCCTTATATCTCGCTAGCCCCGTGACTGAACCAGTCGCCGGAAGGAGGGAATGGAATGTCCATGGATGATTTAGACTATTCTATAGTTTAGACCTCACCTCTAGGTGTGGGGAAAGGTCATCTTCCTTGAGCAAGTGGAAAGGTGGATAATTAAGCAAAATCAGGACCCTGCCAGCTAAGAAGCAGTTGAGGCAGGGAGTACATAAGGATGTTGGGGAGGTCTGCACACCTATATTCACGTGTCCTACCACTTTATTTCAAACCCAGCCGGTTCCCACCATCTCCCCTCTGGTCCACTCTCCCAGACCCTCATTTCTGGATGCCTGCAGTAGCCTCCCAACCAGCTTCCTGCTTCTGCTCTTGAACCCCTATAATGCATCCTCCACACAGCAGCTGCAATGATCTCTTTAAAACAAAGTAGGCAATGATGCTTGCTTACAACCCTCCCATTGCACGCGCAACAAATCCATTCTGCTTCCAAGGCTCCCTTGCCTCTGTGATCTCATCTTTTATAGCTCCCCTCCTCCCTCCCTCAGTTTCCTTAAATGCACGGGGCTCGCTCCTCCCTAGGAACCTTTGCATTTGCTGTGCTCTCTGCCTGGAGCACTGGTGTCCAGATCTTGCCATTGCTGACTCCTTGTCATTCAGTCCCAGTTCAAATGTCACCTTCTTAGAGAGCTGCTTCCCCTCAGGAGTAGCCCCCTTCCCTTTCTGTGCCATTATCCTGTTTTGTTTTCTTCATGTGTTTATTGCTATCGGAAACTGTCTTTTTGATTTACTCATGATCTGTCTGCCCCATGAAAATCTAAGCTCCTTGAGAGTACAAACTCTTTTGTCCTCCATGGATCCCTCGTGCCTGGAACTGTGCTTAGCGCATAGCAGACACTCAAAAAATATTCGTTGAAGGAATTCAGAGTATTGACTGCCTCTTGTTTTATAATTTAGATACCTGAATAGGCTTATAAAATCTCAGTGTCTTTACTCTGTTTTACATAACACCCCTCATCCCACTTGCCTTTAGGGTAATTTTCTTTCCAGAGTTGGCGATCCCCAGGCTGACTCTGAGACGCCCAACTTCAAAGACCAGCTGGGAGAAGTTGAAGTTCTGGACAAGAGAGTTTCAGGTCCGGGGGCCCTCCGGGCCCCAGATCTCTCCATCTGGCTAATAATCCCTCAGGATGATAATTCCTGAGGTCTACGGCTTCACGAATCAGCCCACTAAGAGGCTGGGCTTCCTTACTTTGAAGTGTTGGTTGGCTGTGTCTTTGCTCTGGGGATCTTGGCCTCTTGGTTCCAGGTGGAGAGAGAAGACTTCAGTCCACAGCCAAAACCAGAGTTAACTATCGTGATCTGCTGGGTCACTCCTTGGAGCATTGTGATGAGAAGCGCTCTGAGAAAGCAGCTACCTCAATATAATTCGCCCCCCTCCTCCCCAATTTGCCACAGTGACTGAAATGTCACCTTAGTAACCACTTCCTGGATAGGGTTGCCAGATAAAATTGTTTCATTTGCTAAATCTGGCAACCGTATTCCTGGTCGTGGTTGCTATCTGGAAGTGGCCAGAGAGAGAGAGTATGTTTTCTGGGCAGCATTAGGGTCCATTTGAGGTCAGTGGTCATGGATTTGAAGTCAGATCAGTCAGCATGGTTCTGGGTTTTTCTACAGCTACTGCTTAGCTGGGTCAGAGCAGGCTCAGAGGTGGTGAAGAAATCGATTTGACAAGGGTTGCGGTTGAGTCAAACAAGAATACTGAAGCCGGAGGGAGGCCAGGGAGTTGAGAGGTGTGCAAGAGAGTGATGACCACTGACCTTGGAATTTAAGACTGGAAGGAAGGAAATGAAGACGTGGGGAGGACAAGAGACAGGAAAAACTCTGCCACGTGGAAAGAGGAGCAGCACTGAGACCGAGTCCCAGATGAATCTTGATTCCACCACTGATTAACCTCCATGGGGCCTTGAGTAAGACACGAGATGCTTCCATTTCCTTTTCTTCACCGTGGGAATGGAGGCCCTGCCTTGCCTACCTCACAAAGTTATTGAGGGACTCAAAGGAGATAAGGAGGGACACCGCCTTAAGAACTACAAAGCAGGATACAAATGTGACTAACAATTTTTTTTTTTGAGGAAGATTGGCCATGAGCGAACATCCGTGCCCATCTTCCTCTGTTTTATATGTGGGGCACCTGCCACAGCACGGCTTGATAAGCAGTACACGAGGTCCATGCCCAGGATCCCAACGGGCAGACCCCGGACCATCAAAGCGAATGCTTGAACCTAACTGCTACACCACCAGGCCGGCCCCGTGATTATCGTTTTTATTTCATAACTTTGCCTAGGGCCATAGGGAGACTCCCTCTGTGGGGAAACCAGGCCGGGCCAGACCAGCAAGGACTTGCACTGGATTAAGGAGAGACACTTGCGAATAGTCCTGGGCTCCTGCTCGTCGTCCTGCTTCCCCATGGAGAAGAACAGCAATTCTAGACAACGCACTGAAGAAAGTTGATCTTCTTTGATCCACACAACACTACCTCTCCCCATTCTACAGATGAGAAAACTGAGGCAAAAAAAAGGTCAAGTGCTGGAGACCCAGCTAGCAGAGAGCCCTAGCTCCCTATGTTCTAGGATATTCTGAGTTCCCACCCAGAAGGCCCTGAGCCTTGGTCTCTTGCCCTAGGACTCCTCATTCCTGGTTCACTGCAGACTCTTCTTAGCCCCATCCCCACTCCCCTTCTAGTCCTCACCAATGCGGGGGTGGGGGGGGGGGAGGCCGGTGCTGGAGCTGGGGCAAGGGGAGAGGGGCCTTGACTTTTAAATCCCCTCCCACTTGTGAGGACTTGGCTTTGCCACCAGGAAATGGGATTGTATGATTGAGCAACAGACACCATGCACCCAGGGGCCTGGATACCTGTGTGGGGTTACCAGCTGAGCCCCTCCTCTGCCCACCCCACCTGTCTCCCTGTTTGGGGCCGGGGCCCAGTGCTTGCCTGCTGCAGGGTAACCAAGTCAACAGGTCTGCCCTCCCGGGGACGTTTCTAACAACATTCCCCTACTGAGAGCCGACCAGAGACTATAAAGAGGCTGGTGGCTCCCGGCCTCTCACAGACCCTTCCCTGCTTCCCACCAAGCAGCAGACCCCAGCCAGACCCCAGCCAGGCAGCATGGTGAGTAGGGGTGGGGGCTGAGCATGCAAGTGAGGGTCCCAGTGGGCCAGGTGGGTGGTATGAGGGACTCTTGGGAGTCTCAGAGTTCATGGGGCTCCAGTGTGTGGGAAGGTAAGGAAGAGGAGAGGGGAAGAGACTTCCAGATGTGAGCATCGTCTGCCAGGTGTGCTGGCATGTGGGGGCGTGCGCAGGGCATGGAGAGGGAGAGGGCAATGGTAGCCAGGAGGAGGGCTGCCAAAGGTTCTGAATTTAGGGGTAGGAAGTATGGGGTGAGCAGGACTGGAGCAGAAAGTGCAAGCACTTTCCTACAAACCAGGGGCCCCGGCAGATTCACTGTTGGCTTCGGGTCCCACCTCCCAGCTGTGGGGACACGTCTCACAGCCTTGCCCATCTGCTCACCTTTGACCTCTTGTTTGGGAAACATATCAGTGGGGAGAGGGAGGAGGAGAAAGGAGAGGGAGGGTGCTCCCATTTATGGGGAGCTGGCTGTGTGGGGTGGGGGTGGGGGGCTCATTCAACATCTTTTACCCATCTCCCCACCAGGCAGGACAGAAGAGCAGTTAAGAGCATGGTTGGAGGCAGGCTGTCCCCACTCTGAATATTCCTAGTCTTGCTCCTGACCTTGAGCTAGTTGCTTAACCTCTCTGAGAGTCCATTTCCTCATCTGTAAAATGGGGTAACAGAAGCACCTATCTAAGGGGATCGTTGTGAAGATTAAATGAGATGGTGTATGTGAGGCCTCAGCACAGTGCCTGGCACCTAATTAACGTGTAGGAACTAAACACCATTGCGACAAAGCCTGCCGACTACGAGATTATCCTATTTTCACAGTCAAGAAAAGGTGGCTAGAGCAGCTGAGGTGAAGTAACTTGTCTGAGGTCAGAGAGGGATGGGGGTCTGAGGCCGAGTCTGTGTGATTCCAGGGGCTGAGCTCTTTGCCCCAAACCTGCTGCCCCACAGAATTTTCCAGCAGCTCAGGCATACCTGAGAGGTCAGAGACGCCTTGTGTGGTGGCGGGCAGGGTGGTGTCCGGCTTTGTAGATCTGTCTGCAGAGATCTGGGCAGGCTCTGAGGGGCAGCAACCGGCGCTGAACTCATCAGGTGACCGGTGAGCCGAGTCAGCCTTCCCTCCCGGACCTGGGGATCTCTGGAGTCCTTGTGTCCCTAAATCCCTCCCAGCTTAATTCATTACCTTCTCTTACGTGACACCAGGGATTGGGGTTGAAAAATTAGTAAGAGGACCCCATAGGTATGGGTCATCCTAGTATGTGTCATGCAACGAGCAGGACAATTTGCAGGCATTCTTTCATTCAATCCAAATCATAATTCTAGGAGGGAGCTCTTTTTATCGCCCATTTCACAGGGGAGGCCGCCCACAGAGAGGGTAAGACTCTTGCTCAAGGCAAGCAGAGAGGTAATGAGGCTGGTTACACACGATTTATGGATTAATCCCTGTCATCTCAAAATCATAAGAAGTCAAAACCCCTGTGTCATATTTAAAAAGTCAGTGAAGTGTCAAATTTATGGGGAGCGCATCCTCATGAAAAAATTAGGAAATATTTCAGACATGCAAAAAAGGTAGAAAGAATAAGACCATAAACACCTGCTACTCAGCTTAAGAAACAGAATCCCTCTCTACTGGCGTTCACCTCCCTCCACTACCAGAGCAAACCATTATTCCAAATTTGGTGTTAATATTTTCCCTTGCTTTCTTTATTTTTGTAATATGCACACATTACAAGAATTTACAGTGAATATATAAATTTGTCTGTAAATGATGCATAGTATTGATTTACAAGTTAAAGATGTAAGGTATCATATTGTACGCTTCTTCTTAATTTGCTTTTTTTCCGGGTAAGAATTTTTTCTTGGCGAGATTCTTATAGTTCACCCATTTCCACTTCTGAATCATTCTTTATCCGTTTTCTCCTGTTGAAGGACGTTCAGTTGCCTTCGGTTGCTATGGTGCTGTGACTGTTCTCGCACCTGTTTTCTTGTTTACCTGTGAGAATTCTCTAGAGCAAGAGCATCTTCAGCTTTCCTAGATATTGCTGAATTACTTTCCAAAAGAGATGCATCACTTTAGGCTTCTACCAGCAGTATGAGTTCCCATTTCTCCATGCCCTCCACATGATTAAGACTTCAAGTTTGGGGAAATTTGATGGATGTACTCGTTTTGTTTTTAGTCTGCGGTAATTACTTCTCAAGCAGACCTGGGAGACACACCCTGGTATTCCCACTTGCCACACTGTCGCATCTGTTAACATATGCAGCCGTCTCTTCCCTAGACAGTGAGCTACCCGAGGGCAGGGACTGGTGGCAAGGGTTCTGTATCCTTAGTGTCAGCACGGTGTTTGGCAGATGTAGAGGCTCAATAAATGTTTAATGAAGCAAGAGGGTCAAGCCTTCTTGATTCCCATGGAACTCCCCAGGAAGGGCACTGACCTTTCCCTTTTCTAGGACCAAGCAGGTTATCCCAGTTCTGCTTCAGGGCCCAAGAGTTGTTTACTACCAGCCTCGAATCACGTGGGGAAGAACTTTCCCCCCAGGCCCACTCTGCTCCAGAACCACGCACCCTCAAGAGAGGAAAGAACGTTCATTCCAGCCCGCTCTTCCCTTCCTCACTGGCACTGTAGCTGTAACATGAATCTAGAGTTCTTTCTGCTTTCTAAACCTCTTCCTTTTCTCTGACCCCTGAAACCTGACTAGGATCTTGCTTCCCTCACCAACGGCCCCTAATTTCTTTCTGAACATGAGTGGGTTGACTATCGTGCTCTGTCAGACTCGTTTGACCCCCTTAACATTCCTCAAGATGCTTAGTCACTGAGCAAGACTCTATAATCTTAGAACTGCCCACATCTTCTGCTTCCCTTGGGGTTTTGGCTCAGCCCCCGGAGGCAATGCCTGTCGGTCCTCAAAGCACTAGTAAATGCTTAAACATAGAAGGTGGGGCAGGGGGACCAGGGTCCAGGAAACTTTGCCCTCAGCCAGAGAACTGCTCAACGAAGGAAGCCAGGATTCGTGTCCAGGCATGATATGCTAAGGGTATTCTCTGCCCTTTGCCCACTCAGCGTGAGTGCATCTCAGTCCACGTGGGGCAGGCCGGCGTGCAGATCGGCAATGCCTGCTGGGAGCTCTACTGCTTGGAACATGGGATCCAACCAGATGGGCAGATGCCCAGCGACAAGACCATCGGGGGAGGGGACGACTCTTTCAACACCTTCTTTAGTGAAACTGGGGCTGGAAAACATGTGCCCCGGGCAGTGTTTGTGGATCTGGAGCCCACCGTGATTGGTAAGTGATGATCAGTCCCTGCCGTGGCCTCCTCCCGGGGACCACAGCAAGTCCTTCTCCATAATGAGAGCACTGGAGTTTGGGGTTCCCAGTTGCTACAGCCAATTAGAACTCCAGATCTTCAGAACCACTGTCACTCAGCTCCAGAGTCTCAAAATCACTCCACATCTCTTTCTTTTTCATTGAAGAACACTTAAAGTCAAGGGCAATAGCAGTAACCTGAATGGGGCTCCTCCAGGGCAGGACTTGGGACATGGTGACCCCACCCCTTCTGGGTACCCTGGGGCCCAAAGAGCCAGGCTGAAAGGAGAGGGGGCCCTAAAACTCCTCCCATTGCAGATGAGGTTCGGACAGGCACGTACCGCCAGCTCTTCCATCCAGAGCAGCTCATCACTGGCAAGGAGGATGCAGCCAATAACTATGCCCGAGGCCACTACACTATTGGAAAGGAGCTCATCGACCTAGTGTTGGACCGAATTCGGAAGCTGGTAAGAGAAGGACTGGGGGTGGGGAAGGGGGAATCTGGATTTGTAAAGTGGTCTGGAGACCAGATGGGAGGAGGGCAGCAATCAGCCTTTGGGAGAGCCTCCTGGACAAGTCTTAAGCATGCAGGATCAGGACTAGTGGGGAGGGGAGGCAAGGAAGAGGCTCCAGGCTGGAGCTGAGTTTCCTCTTTATCTCCTATAACGCTGGGCAGAGTGGCCCCCAGGACAAACACGTCCATGGGCTGCCTGGTGAAGCCATGGGGGTCCATAGGCATTCCCAGAATAGCAACTTGTATTGTAGGAATGTGGGCAGAAGACCCTGTGAAAAACAGGGATGCAAACAAAGCCAGCCCAAGGCTCTGTGATCGACTTTGGCCTCCACCGAGGATGGGGATCAGGTTCCTGGATGGTTGATCTTAGTGGACAAACCCTTTAGAAACATCTGAAGTTAAATCAGGGGCCACGAGTATGAAGCTGCATGGAGTTGGCAAGTTATGATGACAAGAACAACTAAATGAGAAGATTCAAGAGAGCTGCCTGTTAGAGGCCTCAGAAGGTTTTAGAGAGGAAGAGGGACAAGGAGGAGAGAGAGTGGGCCCTCCCTATGAGGATCTGTTTTGTACTGTTGGGAAAAAGTCTTCCAAGGATTTTATGAAACTTTTGGAGGAATTTGAAACAGTACAAGCTGGCTCTTTCCTGTTTGTCAGCTGTGCTTCACGTCCCACGTTTCTCTTTGCCTTCACTTTCTAGGCTGACCAGTGCACAGGACTCCAAGGATTCCTCATTTTCCACAGCTTTGGAGGGGGCACTGGCTCTGGCTTCACCTCCCTCCTCATGGAGCGGCTCTCTGTCGACTATGGCAAGAAATCCAAGCTGGAGTTCTCTATCTACCCAGCCCCCCAGATTTCCACAGCCGTGGTCGAGCCCTACAACTCCATCCTGACCACCCACACCACCCTGGAGCACTCAGACTGTGCCTTCATGGTGGACAATGAAGCCATCTATGACATCTGCCGTCGCAACCTGGACATCGAGCGCCCCACCTACACCAACCTCAACCGCCTCATCAGCCAAATTGTCTCCTCCATCACAGCTTCCCTGCGCTTTGACGGGGCCCTCAACGTGGACCTGGCAGAGTTCCAGACCAACCTGGTGCCCTACCCTCGCATCCACTTCCCCCTGGCCACCTATGCGCCAGTCATCTCTGCAGAGAAGGCCTACCACGAGCAGCTGTCAGTGGCAGAGATCACCAATGCCTGCTTCGAGCCTGCCAACCAGATGGTGAAGTGTGATCCCCGTCATGGCAAGTACATGGCCTGCTGCCTGCTGTACCGTGGAGACGTGGTACCCAAAGATGTCAATGCCGCCATCGCTGCCATCAAGACCAAGCGCAGTATTCAGTTCGTGGACTGGTGCCCCACGGGCTTCAAGGTTGGTATCAACTACCAGCCACCCACTGTGGTGCCCGGGGGTGACCTGGCCAAGGTGCAGCGTGCCGTGTGCATGCTGAGCAACACAACTGCCATCGCCGAGGCCTGGGCCCGCCTGGACCACAAGTTCGACCTGATGTATGCCAAGAGGGCGTTTGTGCACTGGTACGTGGGTGAGGGCATGGAGGAGGGTGAGTTCTCCGAGGCCCGGGAGGACATGGCTGCTCTGGAGAAGGATTACGAGGAGGTGGGCATGGATAGTGTGGAGGGGGAGGGAGAAGAAGAGGAGGGCGATGAATATTAGGGGAATCCTGCATGTCTGTCCTAAATAAAGTGCTGTGGACTTATGGTCTCACAACTGTCTTTTTCTCTTGGGAAAAACTATGGGAGGAGGGCTTCTTCACGAGAGAGATAAGGGGCCAGCCCCATGGCTGAGAGGTTAAGTTTGCGCGCTCTGCTTTGGTGGCCCAGGGTTTGCTGGTTCGGATCCTAGGCATCACCGTGGCACTGCTCATCAAGCCATGCTGCAGTGGCACCCCACATGGCACAACCAGAAGGATGTACAGCTAGAACATACAACTAAGTATGGGGGGTTTGGGGAAAAGAAGAAGAAGGAAAAGAAAGAAGATTGGCAACAGATGTTAGCTCAGATGTTAGACAATCTTAAAAAAAAAAAATCAGAGAATTAAAAAAAAAAAAAGGGAGGGAGAGAGAGAGAAATAGGAAGGCTGATGTCTCGGCCTGGGTTCCCCAGAAAGCAGATCTCATTTCAGAGTTCATTAAAGAGTACAATTCCAGGGAGCAGAATGGGGGCCAAGAGGAGTAAAGCAGAGAAGGAGGGGGAATTCGCCCTAAAGAAGACGCAGCCAAATAAATGGCATCTCAGAACCATTTCTTGGGTGAGGCGGTAGGAGCGGAGTTGAGGGTGGGGGAATTTATTCACTGGCTCCATCCTTCTATTGGTTAAACCTTCACCCCAGCGAGCATGAACTCCCCTGCACTTCCGGGCTGCACACATTTGGGCTGCAGGGTCAATAGGGAAACCCTGGACCCTGGAGATGAGGTGCTTGTTAAGCTGCTTGTGTGTGAAGTTGGTCCCCGCTGCACAGGGCTGCAACATGCGCCTGGTGAGGCCAGGAGGGTCTGAAGTGGTGCCTTAGAGCAGCCTGACATAGCAGGTGCTCACTCACCCATCCTACAGATCTGGAGTTTGTCTTCTTCAGGCAGCAGGTGTGGGTGTAGAGAGTCCAGAAGCTGGCATTAAGGCAGAACAGTGGCACAGTGGCAGCAACAATGGAGGAATGCCTTGGGACAGGGTGCTTACCTCCAAGGAATCTCCATCAGCACTCACTACTTTTTGATAAAGACAATTGACATCTCTTCAATCCTATGCCGTGTGTTATGCAAGCACAGCTTCAAGCCTCCACTTCCAACCAGATGGCCGCCCCTAAAACCCTTGTATACGGACTTTCCATAGCCCCTGTTGGGCTGGCTTAACCACTGCAGGTGTTGGAACTAGAGGAATCCCCACCCCACCTCCATCCCCAGCCAAGGGATGAGATGGTGATGCCAGAACCTAGGAGCTGGAACACTAGGTGGGAGCTGGAGCCACAGCAGAGCTACCCAGAGAGTGCAAGAGGGACCAGGGAGGGAGGGACATTTGGCAGGATTCAGAGCCATGGAGGAGACATAATCACTGCCTGAGGTGCCACCTGACTTCTCCCTTCCTCCCACCCAATCTCCCACCAGTGGCTCACCTTGTCTGAATCTACAGAGAAGCTAGTTGGCAGGGGCAGTGGGCAGGGGCGGTGGCTAGGAAAAAGGAGGTGCAGTCCATGAGACACAGAGCAGGCAGGGAAGATGAGATAATGGATATCAGAGAAAGCAGGCAAATCAAACACACACCTCACCTAGGTCTAGCACCCGGATGCCATTCAGGGCCTGTGGTGGGTGAAACTGGAAATGGAGTGACATCTGGTCCCCCTCACCTGTCCCTGTCACTTTTGTCCCAATGATTATTTTGTCGTGAGTAGAGGATGGAGTGGAAGCAACAGGATGGTTTAGAGAAGAAAATGGGCATGCAGAGCGTAGCTGTTCCCTCCTTCTGTATTGTAATTGTTTGCCCAGAGATAGTGAATATTCTCAACTGCTCTTTGAGGCTTGAAGCTTACAGAGGAAGCTCTGGCCTGGGAGGAGAGACGCCTGCATTGTGTGTATGTGTCTGTGTGGTCGTTGGGGAGGGAACGCAATTCAGAGGGAGTATTTAGAAGCTCATTTTGGCTGAACAATTCAGCTATATCCTCAAATCCACTTTTTCCTACTAAAATGGCTGACTTTCAAGTCTCTATTTGACTCTCGTGTCTTTCTCTCTCTCTCAACTGGTTTCAAACTTGGGGAGGGAACAGGGGTTCTTTTGCGAGCCCTTCGAAGCCCAAGAAATTGCTGTCACTTATTGAGCATCTGCTGTGAACTGGCCCTGTATCCATATTATCTTGTTTAGTCCTGAGGTCAATACCGTTATACCTCCCGGGTGGAAGCTCGTGGGAACAGCGCCTGCTCCACTCAGCACCCTCAAGGGTGCCCGACACGTATTAGACACTCAATATTTGTTGAATTTACTTGTTAAATGAACGCCTATTTTATGGATGTGGAGACTGAGACTCAGAGGAATTAGATGAGTTGCCCAAGGTTACTCAGCTAGTAAATGGAGGAGTCAGGATTCAAACCCAGGTCCGCCTGGGCCAAAGCTTATGCTGCTGCCCTCCCCTTCCTCAGATGCCCTCTCCTCCTGCCCACAGAAGTTCCAAGCACCCCTCCAGACGTCACCTCCTCTGGGCCTGTCAGGTTCCCAATGCCCAGACAGTGACTCAGGCGCCTCGAAGGCAGGGAGGGGATAATGCTTGACACTCCCTTGCCCAGGCACTGTGGTGGAGGGCATGCATGGGGGTGCAGGGACCCAGCTTCTGGGGCTGAACAAGGGCAGAGGTGTCTTTGGGGCCAGGTTTGGGGGCTGTCAGTGCCTTCTTGAAAGGTCCCCTCCCCCCGACATCATAGGAGATGAGGCGAGGGCTTGGGAGCCACCAGAAGGGAGGGCCAAGAGAGAGGTGAGGTCTTTACCTGCCAGGATGGCTAGGCATCCAGAGAGGTGGCCAGGCTCCCTCCTGTTTGCTGTCTCAGCCAGCCCACCCTGAGCAGGTGCATGGCCACCTCCTTTCAGAACCCGCGAGGCCTCCCAGCTGGTAACCCTATTGGCAGGCACTGGCAGGCCTAGGTTGGACTGGGAGTGGGTTTGGGGAGGCGGCAACCCAAACCTCCATAGAGCAGCTGGGAGTGCCACCCAGCCTGGCCCCTGGGGACTCCCTCAGTGCAGGGGAACGCTTTCATCCCTGATGCTTCTAAAGCCCGGGTACCATTCCCTCCTGCAGGCAGACACAAGAGACAGATTCCCAAGCTTGAATTCCACCCAACACGTTTATTCCCTCGCCTCTGATGTGTCAGGAACACACCTGCCTGCCAAGCTGCCTTCTCACCCTTCCCTCCTTCTGGAACACCCCTGCCACCTGCTCGTCTCAATATTTCCACTTCTGCCAGCTTAGGTCACAGTCGCCCAGAATCCATCCAGCCCTGCGGAGCGCTCCCTCCTCTAGATTCTCCTGACACCTACTGTCTTTCTCTACCACGCGTTTAGCACTTGGCATGGACTGCTTGGTATGGTCACACTTAGCTTTCTACCAATATCCTATTTCCCCAACTAGATTTAAAAAAAATATGCATGTATTTGAACACTTATTACATACACCTGCATCAGAATTCAAAAGGTACCAGGGGGATTTACAAACAGCAAAAATAAGTCAACACAACGAAAATAAATCCCCTTCATTTGTTCCCCTCTTGGCAGCCACCAATGTTAACTTTTTTGTTAGTGTTTCTTTCCAGAGACATCTATGTATATATTAATGTATGTATACACATTTAGATACACTTCATTCTACACCTTGTTTTCACTTAATAAATCTACAAGATGGTCCATACCAATACAAATAAATATGCCTCATTCTTTTTGATGAGAACGTAATATTCCATTGTATAGCACACCATTGCTTATTTAACAAGTCTGCTATTAATGGGTATTTAGGTTATTCGCAATCCTTTGCTATGGAAAAGAATGCTGCAACCCTTGTACCTACCTCTTTTCACACATGTACAACCATAAATTATTAGAATTGGAATCACTGAGTCAAAGGCTATGCAATATTAATTCTGATACATCTCATATTGCTCTCTTTAGAATTTATAACAAATTACCCTCCCACTGCCAGCGTGGGAGAATGCCTGTGCCCCCAGCCTTGCCCATACAATGTGTTAAACTCTTTGATCCTTGTCAATCATCTAAGAGAAACAAAGTACTTTGCTGTACCTTTTCTTTATAATTCCCTTGTTATGAATGAGATTGAGCATCTTTTCATGTATTTAAAGACCAGTATGTCTTCTTCTGGGAACTGTCTTGTCTGTGCCCTTTGCCCATTTAAAAAATTACATTGTTTGTCTTTTCTTAATAATTTGTTGGAATTCTTTGTGAATGAAGGAAATTAACCCTTTGTCTGCTAGATATGTTCCACATCATTTCCCTCAGCTGTGGTTTGTCGATGTCGATTTTCATCTCCTTGAGTACAGCACTGGCATTTAAACCTCTGTTTAATATAATACCACATACATGGCAGGTGCTAGACAAATGTCTGTTGAGATAACAGAAGGAAGAAGAAGAAAGATAGATTTGGAAAATTTGGAGTGACCCACCCTAACCTCTTCCTTCCTCTTACACCAAGACCAGTCAGGACTCTTGTTGTAAACAGCGGAAAGGAACTCTGGCAAAGTGAAAAAAAAAAAAAAGAAGAAAAACCACACACACGCACATAAACACACACAGTTGGAGAGAGATTGAGTAGCACACAGAATCGATGCGAGGGCCAACAAACAAGTCTCCACAAACAGGTAGGCACCAAGGGAAGCTGACCAGACAGCACCATAGTCAAGGTCAGGGCACAGGACAGCCTGCCTAATAGACCCCTCCCGCCTCCACCCCCTGCAGAGAGGTCCCCTCCCAGCAGGCACTGAGGCTGACATTTCCTCCTCCAAACACTAGAGGCCGCTGCTGGCTCCGCCGCCAGCACTGCAGAAATGAAATCTAACCTGCCCCTGCTTCTCTGTGACCTGCTCCAGATTCAAAGTCCCAGTTGGAGCTTCCGGTTGGCAGAGCTTCTGTCTTTTGCCTGCACCTTGGAGCCGAGGAGTCTAGGAGAGCAAGCGGCCGGGCTTTGTGGCAGGTAGTGGCTTGCCTGCCCTCGAGACCTA